CCCAGGGTCCCAGCAAGCTGGAGTTGGAAGCTAAAGACAGGTGTCATATCCTGGCGCCTCAGTGTGAGATGAGAGCATCCCAACTAGAGGCATGACTGCCAAGCTAACATCTACCCTGAAAGAACAAACATTGCCCCATGCCTCAAGTATCACTTCCCTAAAGACAGCAACATTGTTGGGGGTGCATCCTTTCGCACTGTTCTTTCCTTACATATTCATATGAGGGTATTTTCCCTACTATCTTTTAAACAAAAATGGGAGAGAGAGAGAGAGAGAGAGAGAGTGTGTGTGTGTGTGTGTGTGTGTGTAGGAGGGGACTGCAAAAGGTTGATGAAAATGTGCTATTCCACAGTTCAACTATATATATTTGAAATGAATGCATATTACATGTGTGTATATACATGTATATATGTACGTATATACACAGAGGAGAGATATTATGCAACTTAGTTTCTCTTACATCCATTTCATGAATTCCAGTTCAATAAGCCTTACTTATCAACATCTATGTATTTCATAGAATGGATACACCAAGATCTCCGAGATCTACCTCAATTAACCCTGCATGTTATTATACACGAGAATGATGATTATTTGATGACACATACAACAGCAAAGTGTCTACATTCAATCATTCACTGAGTAAAGTTCCAAACAATTACACCCTGGACTATCACATGATGTGTAATATTAACATGAACATGTATTATCTAAATGATAGGGAAGGGCCTGGTGCGATAGCCTGGTGGCTAAATCCTCACCTTGCAACCACCAGGATCCCCTGTGGGCACTGGTTCTAATCCCAGCAGCCCCCGCTTCCCATCCAGTTCCCTGCCTATGGACTGGGAAAGCAGTTGTGGATGGCCCAAAGCCTTGGGACCCTGCTGCACCCACATGGGAGACTTGGAAGAAGTTCCTGGCTCCTGGCTTCAGATCAGCTCAGCTCTGGCTGTTGTGGCCACTTGGGGAGTGGATGGAAGATCTTTCTCTCTGTCTCTTCTTCTCTCTGCAAATCTGCCTTTCCAATAAAAATAAAGAAATCTTAAAGATAAAATGACAGGGTATCACTACCATGTCTCTTTCCTATTCTATCATGTAACATTAAAATCTGATTCTTCTCAAGTGAATTTCTTTAAATCAGCAACATTTCAGAATGTTAATTGCAGGTGTAATCATGGACAGAACCACTAGAGGGCGATGGTTACTCACGTAGTTTAACATTGTAGCACGGTTGAGAAGCAGGCGATGACCCAACTGTATAGTCAAGGTAGTAAGTTGATTGGTCTATTCCGGATTTTAAAGTCTATGTTATCACATTTTTATAAGTCTAAACTTATAAAGAGGAGTACCTACACTTCAGAAGTCAATTTCCTTAGTATTCCAAAATACCATCATATTCTCAAATGATCTAAAAGCCATAAGCATAATTTCTAAGATAATGAAGTCTTTTAGAAATCCATAGGTTGTTGGCTTTTATTTTATTGCTTTTTTAAAAGTTAGTATGTAAATTAAATCGTAAGACTTTCTTGGTAATGGATTATACATGATTGCCATTCCCACTAAAAATTTTCCACAAAAGATTTCCATTTAAAACTGAAAGCAATCCCAGATAACCAGCTTTCTGCTGTAAATGAAGTTCTATAGATGGGCGGTAGGTTTAGTGAAAGCATTTTTCATGCTTCCTCCATGAGCAGCAAAACTATATGAAACACAGCTGCAAGTCTATTGTATTTATATACCTTGATCATCGCCTTCCTTCATTGGCTTGAAGTCATTGCTACTTTTATGATCACGTTCCCATTTTCAGGAATACCAGCAAATGTTAATGCTTTTTTCCACTAATGTGGTTCACTGTTGTAGCAGCAAATGCATTTTAACATAATACAAGCGATCAGGATGTTATTTAGTTACCAACTCACAAGATTGAAAATGTGAGCATTAAAAATTGTTTACAAAATAAACTCAGTAATGGTTCCCATAGCACCAAACTCAATCATGTCAGGCCTAAACAGGAGTTTGATTCAAATAATCCCAAAGAACCACAATGTGATTACAGTTTTAAAACAATGTTCACTGTATATATACACACACCCAAGGTAAGAGGGGAGACTCGCCAACCCGGTTTCCACTGAGCTACACATTGCTTCCGTCGTTGCTATCTACCTTTGTCATACAAGGTACAGGGAACCCGCGCCTTGTCCTGTGGACAGCGCATTGCCGTGTGTGTGCTCAGCTCTCACACAGGTCAAGAGCAGAAACCTTGCCCTAACACTCAATAACCATGTCATCCTACGGCTTCTCAAAGAGCAGTTTTTCCCCAAGTTGGATCTTTTCTGTTTTTTTCAATAAAAAAAGTTAATCTCAACTATGTAAAGAAGGTCAAAAATAAAGAAAAAATGGGGAAAAAGTTAATCTCAAAATATTTCTTCCTATTACATGAGGGTTCAGGGTAATATGAAAAAAATTTTTATTTTGTAATTTTTTTTTATAACAATTACATGGTAGATCAAGATGTAAGGATCTAGGTTTAGGGAAAATTGGGTGTACTCATTGCTTCCAGATTTGCTATTTCTTCTTGGGCAACATTGAATTATAAGAGAAACAAGTTTTTCATGGACATTCTTAAGTCCCTTTGCATATTTATACTATTATTAATTCTGCTGTAATTCTATTATCAAAAAGGGCAAGAAAAACTAATTGTAATAAAAATCAAGGAAATAGACACGCCCTCCTCAGAAATGAGGGAAGTAAAACAATATTAGTAGACTAGAAGGTTCCACATCATGCTCCTCTCAACTGCCATGCTTGTTTCTAGATACTGCGCTGGCAATGGTGACCCAAAGGTTTCATTTTTAACGTCCCCACCCAGGAATCTGAACATGAAGCCAATCCACTATTTCCTTAAGATGAGTAACAATGTAGACACCTTCCATCCTTTAAAAATAGCAAAAATAAAACAGGTACAAAGATTCAACATTCCATGCTGAGTGAAAATTCATCAGGAATGTTTTTCATAGCTCCCACATGAACAGAACCATCCTAACTTTAGATTCACAATAAAAAAAAAATTAAATTAATTTTTAGCTTTAGATGATGTTACCACAGCTGTTCGGAGTGGAATAGGTCAAGGGTTAGGGAAAAGTGGGCGTGATCATTGTCTCCAAATTTTCGGTTTCTCCTTGCTTAGGGGTGGGTGCAGGGAAGCATAAGGGGAGAAGCCACACCCAGCCTCCCAACTGCTCCAGTCCCCAGGGACGGAGAATGGCCACTCGATATCAAGCCACGGTCCCAATGTGGCACATACACCAAGGGTTCTGCCCAGGTGATTTTGATAGTTCTGAAATGTTGTTGACCTCACCAACCCAGGGATGAGGGAACCCTTTCAGAAACTGTGCATTAGCTGACAGTCAACCTCAGGGTCTCCATTAGCCCCAATTTTGCTGTTTGGCTGGGGTAGTTGTCCAATTTGTCCTGTCCTCCTTCCACAGGGATGGTACAGACACCCCTCTACAGGGCTCAATTTGCTGCCGTATCTTCCATACAGATCTGGGCCAGCTGTCCACTGTTCCATCTTTTCCATTGAGGACTAGTTCTTGCAGGTGGGCCAAGGCCCCTAACCAGGTGACACGGGCCCTACCAGACCACTGCCCCAGTGCCTACTGCACAGACAGGCTAAGGACCCAGGCCAGGTGACTGGGGACCCAGTGGACCCTACCCTCAGGGCGCATGGACCTGGCCCCAATGCGCATAGTAAAATTTCAAATGCAACTATCAACTGTAATTAGTGAAGCCGCTTTACTAATTCAATTCTGTACTAAAACCTAAAAAGGGAAATTACAATTTTTTTTTTTTCTAATAAAAGGCATTTATTCATTTCTTTGAATGGCAGGGTATCAGAGGAGACAGATTTCCCATCAGTGGTTCACGCCCCAGGTGGCTGCAATGACCAGCTGGGCCAGGCCGACACCAGGGACCTGACTGGAACTGCACTCAGATCCCCTGCGGGTGACAGGGGTCCAAGCACTTTGGTCATTCTGCTTCTTTCCAAGCCTCTTCAGCAAGGAGCTGGATCAGAAGAGAAATCAATACTAGACCCAGTGCTCTTATGAAATACCAACACTGCAGGTGGAGGCTTAATGTGCTGTGCTCAACACTGGCTCCCAATGTGACAAAAAGGAAACATTTTTGAAAGGTGTGAAGATTGTAAATAATCTTAAATTCCAGTAATCTAAAATTACCAATAATATATGCAATCAAATCCTTCTTTTCTGTCGACAATACACTGAGTTTAAGCACTACTATTCCTCTTAAACAAAGAAACAGCTTGGCTTAATAAACACACTCTAAACAAATTAAAGGAATAAAATGTTTTATTTAAAAACCCAAATATGTTTCAAATAAAAACTGTTCATTTATTAAGCACCCACAGAGTGCCAGGCACTATACAAAATATATGAAACATGGTTCATGCTCTTTTCGAGCGAAATTGTTCTATCGCATCCATCTTTCCATCAAGTAGACATCTTACTGCAATGCTGCAAGATGACCTGATCTTCAAAACTTGCTCAAGACACAAGTTTCCAATCCACAGCAGAAGTAGATCATGCCGATCAAAGCAGAAGTGTCAACCAGAGAAATCTGTCCACCACCACATCTAATGTCCCCTGCCTGGTTAAGAGAAAAATTCAAGAGTTAACAGGATGGAAAACAGGTTTTTAAACAATATTCAGATCTTAAATTTAAAATCAGCATTAGTTCCTACGTTTAGTAAGCCATTTGTAAACTTTAGCTGTCATTCATATCATTTCAGTATTATTTTTCAAACTAGTAATACAAAAAAAATAAGCTGGAAGTAGGTTTAAAAAAATGAAAAGGGAAAGCAACAAACTTTGCTCGTGGTCCACATGGTTGGTGGGTAACAGAGAAAAAACAAACCGGAAAACAAGAGAAAATGGCAAGCCATGTCAATTCTAGAAATCCAACCCTTGGTAGACACTGTTTCACTCACCTCGGAAACCACCGCCCCCTCTTCCTCGGAAGCCCCCACCTCCGCTGCCGCGTCCACCTCTGAAGCCACCTGCAAAGGAAACACAGATGAACCACAGGCTCCCGCTCCCATCAGCCTCCGAGATGAATACACCGGTACAGCTGTAAACACCGATTCACGTTTCCTGTCTCACAATTTTTACAGGATCACTGGGAACCACCCCAGTAGGTGACCAACTGGTCAATCACCTTTCATACAAGTATCCCATTTTAACAAATTAGCACGGCTTGTTGCCTCAAAGTATAATGTAGTCCTAGGGTTAAAAGCAAGATTATCTCAGCTTCTGTTTGCAGGAAATGCTTTTTTTGACTGAATTTAGTATAGTCTGATTTAACTGAGGGCTTTTATCCTAAGAACAAGTCAGGGCAGACCTGGGAGGCTGTGCCCTGGGAACGCTGGGACAAGGATGCTGGGCAAGGTGGCCTGCGCTACGACCGACCACAACCGTCCACGACCGACGCTCCCCTGTGGAGGATTCTCACGTTCTAAAAATTTCTTGGGCATTTTCGTATTAATAAACACATTTACCTTCCTACTTTTCAGGCTCCTTTTTGTGCTAACTTTACAAACATTTATAAAAATATAAGTTAACATTTTACCAGTTATGAAATTTAGTGTTAAACATGAGACTGTACATACAGTGAGGGAGCATTCCCAAAGCACTGAAGAACATTCGGATCTCTACCAAGGCTATCTCCTTCCTATCTACCCAAACAAGCACTTCAGACAGAAGTGACTCAATTAAGAAACTCCAAGGTAATTGTGGGGGCTCCCTTTCCATGAACTCAGTAATGGAGCTAAGTCCAGCTTTCCCCTTCTTCCTTTTTTTCCACTTTGGAAACTATAAACAGATCTCAGCATACCCTAGGTGGCAGCCCTGCTCATCACCCAGCTTTCCACAAAAAACGAGTGGCAGAACCTTGGGGAAACACATGATCAGAAGTCTAAAACCACAGCCACAAACTCACTGACGTGACAACTGCACGCAGTTTTAATTCCAGCTCTGCCAGCAGGAGCAGGGCAAATGTCAACCTTGGAAAGCCTCCTAAAATCAGGTTATCACCTCTGTAAAAATATCATTTACCACGAAAGGTTCTGCTGAATATTAAAGATACGCATGGCGCCTGGGGTGGTAGCCTAGCAGCTAAAGTCCTAGCCTTGCATCCACCGGGATCCCATATGGGTACTGGTTCTAACCCTAGCAGCCCCGCTTCCCACCTAGCTCCCTGCTTATGGCCTGGGAAAGCAGTAGAGGACAGCCCAAAGCCTTGGGACCCTGCACCCACGTGGGAGACCCAGAAGTGGTTCTGGGCTCCTGGCTTCAGATCAGCTCAACTCTGGCCACTCAAGGAGTGAAATCAGCAGATGGAAGTTCTTTATATCTCCCTCTCTATATGTATCTAACTTTCCAATAAACATAAAACGAAAATCATTTTAAAAAAAAGATACAAATGGATATTAAACGAACATGTGGCTAGCCCTTGCCATACAATCAACTCTCTACAAACCAAGTAACTACAATTTAGTTTAAAATTATCCTTCACCTTACTAAACTGCATAAGATCACATGATTAAATCAAATAGCTGGAAAACCCTCATAGACATTTACTAGTTCTTTTCCTACCTATTTTATTTGTTCAAGCTAAGCGTCACTACTATTAGTAATTTGCAAATAATATGGGTAATTTAAATAAAAGGCAATCAGGAAGGTCTGTGTAAACACCAATCAGGCTGATACCACAGGAAGGATGACCACAGCCTCAGCCTCCCCAGACCCGCGACTTACCGCCTCGGCCACCGCCTCGGCCCCCTCGGCCTCCGCCGCCTCTGCCACCTCCACCAGCGCCCCGGCCACCGCCTCTGGGGGGACCTTTCTCCCCCGGGGGCCGGGGCAGGAACCTCTGCAGCGGCAGCAGCTTATAGGGATCTATGTAAAACTGAAGCATGACAGAAACAATCAGTGTGCTGCCCTTGGGGACAGCCCAGTCACCACTGGAGAACCACACACTAGGATCAAAACGGCTTGATTCCAGTCCCCACTCTGACTTCCTGCTGTGCAGCCCTGGGCAAGAATTTAATTTCTTAGTGCCTTCGCTTCCTGCCTCTGCTTAGGACAGTGCTCCCCTCAAAAGCATTTTTTACTCACAGGAATTCTCACAGAAAACAAAATTAAAAGCAAGGCATTAAAATGCAAAACAACTGGCATGCCAGCTAATTTGAGATTTCAATTAAGATCAATCTGCTTACTTACTAAGCATACAAGGTAATGGAAGTGATACAGAAACAAAAGCCAGCCTGTATTTCAAGCTCATGAGGACATTTCAGACACTACAATGTAAGGAGCTATCATGTTCACAGCCCTACACAAAACACAAACAGGGAGGCTTCACTCACATTGAGCCAGAACAGTTTCCTGTATCCCTCAGTGGCTCAAAGAACATGCCCAATAATATCAACCCAGGAGCTCTTCCTGTTTTTATATTGAAGCCAAGGCCCCAAGAGCTCCTGGGCCAAATCTGTAGGCACGAGGGCTGGAAGGACATCTAGAAGTTTCTCCCAGACAGCAATGGTCAGGTCTTTCTCCAGGCAAGTCTGCAAGTTGGATTCTAACCCATTTTTCTCCTTCACAGTATAAATCGTATTATTAAAACACTTAGGAAATCATTTAGAACCTACCTTCTCCCCGAATAATACAAGTTTTATAATCATTCATCTTATATGGAGTGCTTGGTCATGCACGCTTTTCAATAATACAATAAAAACTAACAGTTACATATTTTGCTAAAATGACCAAGGAATGCTTGCTAAATGGTTGTACCAAACTTTCAGAGATCAGTGAACTCATGTTTATATAAGACAGATCATCTCAACTCACATGCTGGGGAAGTCTCAAGTGCCTCAGTTGGACCCACTATTACCTTACAAAACCAAGGATCTCAGGATGGCAAGCTTCACTCACCTTCTGTAGTTTTTTAAAGGAAGATGCCTTCATGTTCTCTGACAATTTAACTGAAAAGTACTATTAATATTATTAAGGAACAAGCAAGAAATGAAGATGAAAGATTTCAAACCTTCTGAACTCACATTTTTATTTAAAAACAAGACTATATGTGGAAAGCATATATGTGTTTGTGTGTGTGTATATATATACATATACATGTATACAGAGAGGGAGAAAGAAGCTTTAAATGAAATTTATAAAAAAAAAAAAAACCTCAGACTTCCAATTCCATTCCAGTGAACCATCATATCCAAAGCAATTAATTAATTCTTCTAGCACGTACCCAACTGGCCATCATTTCTAGAACTTTCCAAAACACAACCTTTCTTTCATCTATGAATCCAGTATATTTAGATGAATACATTCTTCTCTCTTTATTATCTTTTATGGTCCAAACTATAGAGATACAGTCTAAAGTTTCATTTATATTTAACTTCCTCAGGAAAAAAAAGTAACTTTTCCAAAATTTTTAGATCTTCCAGTTAAAAAGGATACAAAATCTCTAAGTTGTCCAAATATTTCATCCACTTTTCCAATTTGTTCTTTGTTTTCTAAATACACAGGAGCATTGAAATAAGGCACCTTATTTTCATCTGTGGTGCATTTACAAACTATGTCATCTTCACAAGGATGCATGAACTCTCCTAATACTGAAAGACAAGAAATCATTAAAACATGCAACTCTTTCAAATGTCACTGACGAATCTCTCCTGGAAACTGGATTACCCCCATGTTAGTATACCCACTCTCCCAATCCAGTTACTAGAGACAGACGTCTATCTAGTCTGGCAGTTATGACAGCCATGCTTTTTTATCAGATACCTGGGTTCAATGCCCAGTACCTGCTCCACATTCCAGCTTATGGTTACAGCTCAGGTAATCTGCCATCCATAGGAGAGACCTGGGCTGTACTTCTGGCTTCCCCCTTTACCAAGCCAGGCCCAGACAATGATACCCTTCGGGAACTGAACCAGCAGATGAGAACTCTCCAAACTCAAATAAGTGCATTTCCTGGGTTGGAATATCAACTCTAAAGTGTATCAGACGCATGACCTAAGGAAAAATATTCACCCTCTTTGGTTTCAATGTCCTGATCTTTAATATATAGCTAACAACACTAACAGGTATCTATGGCTAATTTATAGTCTCTTGAGAATTAGGTAGAACAACAAATATCCAGGCCTCAGGACTCAGAACAGTACCTGACATGTTGAGGCCACTCAGCCTACAACACTTTTACTTTATTGTAACATTATCTGATTAAACACAATATTTCATTCACTGAGTTTTTCATTTCCCAACTTCTGTGAATCACACTTTTGTTCTTGTCTTTTTCTTCTCAGAACTACTGCCACATCTTTACCAATAATATCAAAAACACTTTAATGAGTTAATTTATTTGAACAGCACAGTTGCAGAGAGGAGAGAGAAAATAAGAGCTCTTCCCTCTGCTGGTTTGCTCTCCAAATGACTGAAATGGCCAGAACTCAGCCAGGCCAAAGCTAGAGGCTTAGAAGTCTATGGAAGTCTCCCAAATGGGTGAAGGGGCCCAAGGACTTGGGCCATCTCCTCCTGCTCTGTCAGGTACATTATCAAAACCAGATCGGGGGTGGAACAGATAGGACACAGCTGGCACCCACCGGGGACAATGCTATCCTGACAACATGTTACCCAGTTTGCCACACTGCTGGTCCCTGCCAAATCTTTATAAAAGTATGTTGGAATCTCAAAACAACTACCTTTACTTATAAATGACTGTCACCCCCAAATGAAAATATTCATAAAATGCCTGCAGTATCAACTCTGTCCCACTAATACTTAAGCTCAAAACCTGGAACTTTTAATTTCCAATATTAATCAAGTTTCGCAAATTTGGTTTCCCTCAAAACTTCTCACACCTGAACCTTTGCTCTTTCTTCACTGTCACCAACCTAGATCAGGCTGTCAGTGCCTCATGCGGGGACTGTTGCCAAAGCCTGTGTTCTGAGATGACTGACTAACCGTGTCCCCACCTGAAGCCATCCTGCAGACTGATCTGACCCGTTTTTCTGGGCTCAGCCTTCTCCCCTTCAAATCCCCTTCCACACCTTCCCGACTTCACTGACAATTACTCCAAACTTCTTCTATGTGGGTCTGACTTCCCCTCCTAGTTTTCCTCTCAAGCAATTTTTTTCTCTACTTTTACGTAGCAGAAGAAAAATATGAGCTTTAGAATAAAAAGCACTTTCCTTTTTACCCATCTTTACTTGTCTGAAAGGCGGTGAGAAAAGGGGAAGGAGAGGGCAGGGAAAGAGAGCACGTGACATCCCTGGTCCCTCCCCCAAATGCCTGTGACAGCCAGGACTGGGCCAGACCGGCACTCCTTCCCAATCACCCCCATGCATGTGCGGCGGGGACCCATGGGCTTGACCCTTGGGGATGTGATCAATGGAAGCTGGGTCAGAAGCAGAAGTGAGCTCAAACACACCAACTCCAATGGGGATGGTGGCTTCATACAGCTGTGTGTAAATAGGTCAGCCCCGTTGGCTTGGCATGTATCAGTAACCTTAAGATCCTAGCAAAAAAGCTGAACCTTGAATCACAGTTTACCCTTCTGTTAAAACGGGGCAGAGGGAGAAATGGAGAAAGCATGCCATACCGCCTGCACAACATCCTTCAGTCCAAACCTGGTCATACCTCCCAGACACTCTCAAAGCCATCCAGCTTTCCCACACACCACAACATTCAAATCTGGTCCAGAATTCTGCAAGTGTACACACTGGCCTCCACACACAGGGACCGAGCTGCAGGCCCTCTACCTGGGCTGCTGCCCCCACTCTTCAGCACCTGATTCGTGAAACTGCAAGGGACACGAACCCACAATCCAGCCCCCAGCCCCACCCCCGAGCAGGCTGAGTTTCCAGGACGACCTACTGACTACGTGTTCCGGAGGTCCTTGGTCCTGGCCCTTGTTAAAGCCCCCACGGCCACCCCCTCGTCCGAATCCTCCTCTGCCGCCGCCGCCTCGGAAGCCGCCTCCTCCGCCTCGGAAATGGCTGTTGCCGCCGCCACGGTTGAAACCGCCACCTCCACCACCCCGATTAAAGCCTCCACGACCTCCGCCTCGGAAAGACATGATCTCTTCTGCCTGCTGGAAAAAGAAAAAATAAAAGTAAAATAAGGGCGTGTCTTTCGATGCATGCGGTCCCAGAGCATGCACCTCGCCAAGCCCAGGAGCGCTGGCGGGTGCGCGCCGACCGACCACCCGCTGTCCTGCCCGCCCCCGGGGTTGGCACCTCCTCTCCTAGCAGGCAGCGAGGTCTTCAAGCCGCACTCCCTTCCCGCAGCTAACTTCGGGACCCGCACCCCCAGATCCCGCAGCTTTCCCGAGGCCACTCGCGGGCGCCACGTGCGCCTCCCGGCCCCGCGGCTCGCACATCCTCCCCGCCCCGCCGGGTACTTCCTCCCCCGCAGTACCTTTCCGGCCACCGATCCGGAAAGCGGGCCGGGAGGCAGACACGCACCGGCAGATCCTGCGGGAATGCTCCAAAACAGTCTGCAGCGCCGGAAAAGCACCAATCCTACCCAATTTCCGACCTCCCGGTGGCGGCGGGTAGGTCCATGGGCCCCGCGACCCGCGGCGGAAGTGACGCACAAAAGTGGCGTCCTTGGCAGCAGAACTTTGCGGAAGTGCCGGGAGACGGAGGGCGTCGGGGATCCGCCCGTCAGCCCGGGGCTAGCGCGCTCTTCCGCGGCGGCTATCCTGGCGGCCCGGGACTCCGGTAGCGGGTGCCCCAGGCCCGGTGCCTTCGCTTCTCTGGGGGCGAAATGGCCCCGCAGCCTCGACTCCCGCGTCCTGGCCAGCTGCAGAAGGTGCGGCCGCGCAGCTCGGAGGCGCGCTCTGCCCGGGGTGGAGCGGGCTGCCTTGCACCTGTCACAGTCCAAATCCTCTGGGATTTTACCTCAGTATTTGACCCAGGCGTCGGCCTCGTCTTTGAATGAGGTGATCGGTACCTGTTTCAGAAAGTTATTGTGAATCAGGATTTGAAATATCGCTATGAACGTCACTGTGGAGTATAAGCTTGTGAAAGAAGCACCTAATCATATAAATTTTGATGGAGGTATTTTAACTTGGATTTGATAAATACGTTTTTAAATTCGGTACATCCAGACGGTGCTGGAATCAGCCGTGTTACATTTTTGCCTTATGGCATTTAGGGTTTACATAAGGTCTGTCTCCGTGTGTATATTTTATGTCCCACTGTTGCCCCCAACCCAGCGTGACAAAACCATTGAGCTCCTAGGGAACTTTGAAGATCCCTTGACACCTCCCCTGTTTAAAGGAACTGGCATTCCAAGAATAACGCCCTCAGCTGGTCAGCAGGGCGGACTAGAACCCCGAGTTGTCACAGTCCTTAGCTGTTTCCTCCTGCTCCAACTCTCTCCTTTTCCCAAGTTCATCTTTCCAATGCCCGATCTGTCCTCTGGGTGGCATCATCGTCTTGGTCCCTGATCTTTAAATATGTGAGCGCTTTTCTCTGGCCCTGCCCTTCAGGACCCTGCCCTCCCCACTCTCTCCTTCATAGTCCATTTCTGTTCATTCTTCCTAAGGTAGCTTTGTGTTGTTGTCAACTTATTACAGGCCTCCAGTTGTCACTGCCACAGGTTTCCTTTGTTAGTCCTATCCTAAATCACCCAGTAAAATCACAAGACTAGAAATAATAACATCCTGTCTCATGTTGAGTATTTTTGCTGCCTCAAACTAAGTGCTTCCAGTCTCCACTTCCTCCTGCCATCTCTGCTGCATGTCATCACATGGCATTGAGCTTACTGAAGCAGTTCCTCGGCACCAGGCCCTCATTTCCTTAAGTACAAGCCAATTCTCTCCATCTAGCATTCTGTATAATTGATTTTATTGTCAGGCCAATGTCATTGTTGCTTCCCTTTTATACTTCTGTCAAAAATTTTCTCTTGCTTGGAGAAGCCCCATTTTCCATCCACTAGACACAAGGGGCCTGTGATGTTATTCACAGGCCATACAAAGGTCAAATTAAAAATCAGCTTGCTATGGGGGGAGGGGTATGGGAGGGGTGGGGGGATTCCCCAGGGCCTATAAAACTGTATCACATAATACAATGTTAATAACAATTTAAAAAAAAAAAGATGAGCTACCCCACATTTAAAAAAAAAATCAGCTTGCTATAGATTTGTTGAATTTTCAGTGCTGTCTGCCCTGTCTTACCAATGCCACACCAAATGCTTTCATGGGCCTTATGTGGCCTCTAGGCTCACCGTACTGCTTCCTGGATCATGTTTATGTTCTGGGGCAATAATTGAACTCATTTTCTTGTTTCTTTTCTTAAAAAAAAAAAAGATTGATTTGTTTCATTTGAAGGGTAGAGTTACAGAAAGAAAGAGCAACCATCAGCTGGCTCTCATCTCAGATGGCTGCAACATCTATTTGGGCCAGGCCAACTGAAGCTGGGAGCCAGGAGTTCCGTCCCTCTCTCCCAAGGGGATGGTAGGAGCCCAGGCACTTGGGCCAGCTTCCATGTCTTTCTCACGCAAATTAACATGAAGCTGGACCAAAACTGGAACAGCCAGGACTCAAACTGACACTCAAGTAGGATGCCAGCACTGCAGGCATCCGTTTAATATGCTGCACCACCAATGTCAGTGCCTGTTGAAATAATTTTTAAATCTAAAGTATGATGGGCAAGTTGTAGACATGATAATCCAATAGTATCAATAGTGTCATTTTAAAAATACAGTGAAACACATATAACATAAAATGTGCCACATTAAGTAATTTTTAAAAAAACATTTAAGAGCTCTTATCTGATTCAGACCCCAAATTCCTGCCACTGCCCAGCATTGCCAGGCTACAGAATGTCTCTGGGAGCCACAGAGCCCAGAGTCCAGGAGCCCACGTCTGTTGTGTGGGTGGCATGGACTCAAGTTCCTCAGCCGTTACCTGCTGCCTCCTGGAGTGCATGTTGGCAGGAATCTGAGTCAGGAGTGGAGCCAGGTCTTGGACCTGATAACCTAACTACTGCCCACAAAGGCCTGCCCTTCACTCTCTGATGTCCACAGAGGTGGACAAGCTTAGTGAGCTGATGACTGCAAACAAAGGAGGAAATTAACTGGCGTGCCCTTCTTTGAGCCCTGAGCCTCTGTGGAAGTTGCAGTTCATTCAGCATCTTGGGTGAGTAAACTTGTTCTTGTTTAGTGAACATTCAGAGCAGAATCAGACTCTCCTTACTATTGAAAATGAAATCTGTCTGTGTTGGTTTCATCCTACAATGCTAGTTTCTAAAAGACTGAAATTTTTTTTTTGAAAACACAGTGCAAAAATGAACAAAACCCACATGACTGTTCTGCCACCTGCAGACTATCTGGGAATGTGTGTGATGAGATTAGGGTCTGTGCTTGCTAAGGTTAGCCTTTTTTGTGTAATCATCCAGAATGTCTTGCTGCAGCTGCAGGTATCTGCTATCCACACTTGTCTGGGAAGAACATAGAGTATTGTGAGGCCATCACCATCTTCTCATTTCAGGAGAGGGGAAGCTTTCTGGGAGTCAGTCACTAACAGTTCCTCCAAGGAGTTCCAGTTGTTTCCAGTATGAAGACAACATTAAATGTATCTTTACCACTGCTTTATTGGAGTAGGACTTTATACCAGAATTTTTTCTTGAATTTCACAGTAATTTATAAATACTTTTTGAAAGATTGATTTATTTTTATTGGAAAAGCAGATCACATTTTATAGAGAGAAGGAGAAACAAGAAATATCTCCCATCTGCTGGTTTATTTCCCAAATGACCACAATGGCTGGAGCTGAGTCAATCCAAAGTTATTCTGGATCTCCCATGTGAGTACACAGTCCTCATCGAATGCTTTCCCAGGCTATAAGCAGGGAGCTGGATGGGAAGTGGAGCAGCCAGGACATCAACCAGTGCTCATACAGAATTCGGGCACTTGCGAAGTGAGGATTTAGCCATTAAGCTGTCATGCCGGACCTCAGTAATGTCTGCATATTAACTGATGTTACCATTGCTCATGTCTGATGATTCATCGATCCTGGATTAGAAGTTGTTAGGGTTTCTGGCACTATTCATCATATATTCTATGTCACTAGGCCAATCTAACAAACTTTGAAAATGAAACATTTTAGTTTCTCCTGTTATATCTTGGCATTTCATTCTATAACTTTGTGTGCTGAGGGCTGCCACTGTGCAACAGGTTAAGCCTCTGCATGTGACACCCACATCTCAGACATCTCAATTTCAGTCTTGGCTACTCCAACTTCTGGTTATTTCTCTGATACAGTACATGGGAGGGCAGCAGATCGCCCTAGTGAGAGACATGGATGGAGTTCCAGGCTCCTGGCTTTGACCTAGCCAAGCGCAGCTATTATAGCTGTTTGGGGAAAGAACTCGGGGGAAAAAAACTCTTGCTCCTGCTGTTTCTCTGCCCTTCAAATAAAGCCTTTTGTAAAAGTTTTGTTTGTTTTTTGTTTTTTACTGGGCTGGCACTATGGTCTAGTGGATAAAACCATCTCCTGTGACACCAGCATGCCAAATGGTCACTGGTTTGTGTCCGGTTGAGTCAATGTCTGATTCATCTCCCTGCCAAGGGCATGAGAAAAGCAGTGGAAGATGGTTCAAGTACTAAGGCTTCTGCATTTACATGAGAGACCCGGACAAAGCACCTTGTCCTTGCAGCTGTTGTGAGATTGGTCTGAGAATTTCCTACTTTAAAAAATAGTTTGAGAAGAACTGGTGCTAGTTCTTTCATAAGAGTTATGTAGAATTTAGCAATGAAGCCCTGATACTAGGATTTTCTTTTTCTGGAGACTTTTTATTACTGATTGATGCTAATGAGCTGTTATTAGTCTGTTGAGGCTTCCTGTGTCTTTATGTTCATTTTGGTAAGTTATATGTGTTCATAATTTTATTCATTCCTCCTAGGTTTTCCAGTTTGTTGGTATGTAACTGTTCATAGTAGTTCCTTCAAGAGCCTCTGTATTTCTATATTATCCATTGTAATAACTCCTTTTTTTTTTATTTTTTTCTTTGGGTAATGTAGCTAAAGATTTATCAACATTGTCTTTTCAAAAACCCCAACCTTTCATTTCATTGCTCTTGTATGGTTTTCATTTTTATTTTCTGTCTCTGTTCTCACTTTTGTTTTTCTGTTACTTTGGGTTTAGTTTGTTCCTGCTTTTCTGGGTCCTTGAGATACATTGTTAGATTATTTGATGGATTTCTGTTTTTGTTGTGGTCCTTTACACCAAGAACTTCTCCTTTAGTACTGTTTTGCCTTTGAAATATTTTGATTATTTATTTATTTTTTTTATTGTCCAGATAAGTTCAATGGCTTTTTGGGGAGACCTTCTCTGGTCTGAAGGTAGAGCCAACAGAGTAAAAACCCAATCAATCTAAAGCCCCAACATATCATCGGCAACAATATACAATGTTATGGTATTAATTGATGTAATATTGAGTAAATAATCTATTAAAAAGAATGCAAGTTCTTAACCGCATCCTGTGACTACTCCATTGATATTTCAGCAATTGAGGTGTATAACAGTTATATTAGGAGTGAAGCACAAGGTTTTGAAAGTATAGTAGG